TCCATCATATTATTTGAGGATTTCAGCTGCAAAGTGAAACATGTGAAATGATAAACTACAGTGGTAAAAGGACACTGGTGGAACTATACTGCAGTAAAACTCTTGGGATTTCATTTCCAGAAACTTCCAATTGGGAAATGGTATATTTGTTGAAATTAAAGCTTTAATGATAATAGATCACCTTCGAGTAATGCTAGAACTGTCAAGGCATCTTATTCTGATACCAAAACTCTGACTTTATATTTAAAAAAAAAAAAAAAAAAATTATGGGGTGTGTGTGGTTTAACAGTAAAAAGTAGCCAAGTAGATTTGCAAGTATTTTTAAACTCAGAGCAATTGTGGTGAATATTTGCTTGGTGAAATTTTGATGCTTCAGTATTGGTTCCCATTTGGAACTGAAAATACATGTAAGCATTTAAGGATTTGAAAAGAGTTGGCAAGGAACAGAAAACCTTTTGGGCACTTTTTCAAAATGTACTAAAGAATGCTACATTGCCTCTTCATGACTATAGTGTTTGAGGTAACAGATTTAGAGGAATGAATGTGAAGCTGGATGTTTTCAGTTCTAAGATACAAATGTGTAAGTGCGTTGCCTGTGTGCTTGTGTAGTGAAACGGAAACCCACTGTTCCCTCTGATTTCCCAGCATTTTTATGGTGATTTAATGTTTTTGTTGGTCTTTGGTGGGGCTTTCTTTGTGGGTTTCTTGAAATTATTTTGGGTTCAGTGGGTTTGAAATTTTTTTTTTGTTCTATGTAGACTGCCTTTCCAGACTTCCTGGTTTTAAAGCTGAAAAACTGAAAGAAATTTAAACCTTTAAAATTCTTGCAGGAAAATGTTAGTCAAGAAGAACCCCTACTATATTAAAAATAGGAATTCAGTTGTGACTTGCCCCAGTTTACATTTTTTAAATTAATCTGTTGAAATGCTTGCTTTCTCTGGACTGTTCCTTCCAGTTCATGTCTCTTTCAAACAGAAAATGGAAACATCTTTAACATACAGTGTCTAAAATGTTTCCTATTAGTAGGATGATAATGCTCAAATGTATATATATACAATGTGTATATATAATGCTCAAAAAATATATATATTCAGATTTAGTCTTCAGATTATTTTAGGCACCAAGACATTTATGCCAAAATACTTGCTTTTTAGAACTCTTACTTAAAACCGAGCAAGTTAAGTTACACTAAAAAAATCAGTTGATGCCATACTTGTCACAGAAGCAGATAATTCTTAAGTTTTACTAATTCTGAATTCAGTGGTGGTTTTACTGTCGTAATTTTCCATTACCTTGATGCAGGAGAATGACACAGTCTCCGTTTGTGTGTTTTTAGGTGACATACTTCAAATTTAAGCTACATGAGAAGAAAGATGTTAGGCTATGTTGTATTTATTTAGTTATATGTTTCTGTTTTACCTGTCCATTGTATTATACAGCATTTAATTGGTGATTTTTTTTTTTTGTGTATGTGTATTGATTCTGGTCATGTTGATGACATATCAGAAGAACTGCATGTCATTGATTCCTTCTTTTTTTCTGGATTTAGATTGTTCCAGCCATTTATTTGAGCAAATTTGTAACATTCTAAAAACATAGTCACACTGTAACCTGTAAAATTGTACTCAGGAAGATGACCTTATAAAACATGTATAATATTTGATTTGTGGTCAGCACATAATTTAATGTCTAGAATTCAGTGAAGAAGTACTCAGTACATCAGCATTGGTTTTGTGAGTTTAGAAATACATAGAGGAATCTTTCTCTTCCTGTGAACAAACCACCTAGTTTTCACACTGTTACTTAGTAGCAGTCTAATTTTGGAGTGAGTGAAAATTGGTTTTGTTTGCTAGGTAGTTGACCTCACCTTTTCATATATGTTTCTCTAATTCTTTAGCCTAATCTAAGATAGTGTAATTTAAATAGCAACCCCTGACCTGAGTCTAGAATTTAGCGTGCTATAACCCAGTCCATGGAAGAAATGAGATAGGAGTCACTTTTCACTGCCAACAGCTGCTGCCTCTTCCAGATTCCCTCTTGTTCTTTCTGACCAGGCATTAGTCTTTGTGGCCTATGTCTTTATTTAATTCTTATTTATATAACTTTCTAAAATGAATAAATACATACTTCAGGTAATTTGTGGCTTAAAATCAGATTGGTTCCCTAAGCTGGCTTCCTGTCCACCTTTGGAAGACCCAATGTTAGCAGGGAAGAAGGGAGAAAGAGAGAGCAGATCTTCCCTTTTCATCACCAGCATGGATTTATTTTCAGTTTATACTGGGTCTGGATAAATTAGAGTTAAATTTTCTTCATAGCAGCCTATTATGGGGCAGTGTTTTGGATTTGTGACTAAAACTGTTGATAACACACTGGTGTTTTGGCTATTGCTGAGCAGCATTTGCACAGTGTCAAGGCTTTCTCTTTTTCTCCATTCTAGACCCCCTGGTGAGTAGGCTGGGGTGGGTAAGAAGTTGGGAGGGGACATGGCTGGGACAGCTGACCCAAATTGGCTGCAGGGATATTCCATGCCATCTAACATCATGCTGAGCAACAGAAACTGAGGGGGCCGGGGTGGGGTGTTAGTCTGGAAGGTAGCTATTGCTTGGAGACTGGCTGCGCGTCGATCTGGTTGTGGGAGGTAGTGAGTGGTGAAAAACACCACTTGGTGTGTTTTCCTCTTCACTTTCCTCTTTTCTTCACTTTTAAACTATCTTTATCTGGACCCGTGTGTTTCCTTGCTTTTCCTGTTCTCTCCCATGTCTCTCATCATTGGCAGGGTGTGAGTGAGCAAGGGGCTGTAAGGTAGTTAGTTGCTGCCTGGGGTTAACCCACCACAGAGTTCTTAAACACTCAGACATTTCATTCTGTGTATTTGCAATGATGTGACTCTGAATACGATCCCAGAAGAAACCATTCATCACTTGTAACTTTGGCATTATTTTAGCATTCTTTTTGGTATTTCACCTCTCCCAAGCTGGATCTTGAAGAGGAATCTGTTCTACCTGGTGAATGACAGGAACATAATTGAGCAGGAGAGCTAGGAGTGACTTGGCATGGGCAAATAATGCTTAAAAAAGTCGAGTTGATCTTTCAGTTTAACTTTCAGTGAAATGGTCTTTTTCGGAATATGTAAGAAATTTCTTAATTGATCCACCTTAAGCAGGGATTATGTTGCACTTAAACACTTTGCTGACTTTATGCTTCACTGCCAACACCTAGTGGTACATAAGACAGACGGGCATGTTGATCAGTTGAAAGCTTCACATCCTCTCCAACTTCACTTCAGTTAGTATTTTGGGGGGAAGCTGTAGAGTTTTCAGTTGGAGTAGTTCCACAACTAGTTTATCATATGCTATGTGAATCATAGAATCATTTAGGTTGGAAAAGACCTTTAAGATCGAGTCGAACTGTTAACCTAACACTGCTAAGTCCACCACTAAACCATGTCCATAAGCACCACATCTACACATCTTTTAAATACCTCCAGGGATGGGGACTCAACCACTTCCCTGGGTGGCCTGTTCCAGTGCTTGACAGCCCTTTCAGTGAACAGGCTGGATTGATGGGCTGAGGCCAACTGTATGAAGTTTAACAAGGCTCAGTGCGGGATCCTGCACTTGGGTCACAACAACCCCATGCAATGCTACAGGCTTGGGGAAGAGTGGCTGGGAAGCTGCCTGACTGAAAAGGACCTGGGGGTGTTGGTTGACAGCCGGCTGAACATGAACCAGCAGTGTGCCCAGGCAGCCAACAGCATCCTGGTTTGTGTCAGGAATAGTGTGGCCAGCAGGATCAGGGAGGTGATTGTGCCCCTGTACTCGGCACTGGTGAGGCCTCACCTGGAATACTGTGTCCAGTGTTGGGCCCCTCACTACAAGAAGGACACTGAGGTGCTGGAGCGTGTCCAGAGAAGGGCAAGGAAGCTGGTGAAGGGTCTGGAGCACAGGCCTTATGAGGAGTGGCTGAGGGAACTGGGGTTGTTTAGCCTGGAGAAGAGGAGGCTGAGGGGAGACCTTATCGCTCTCTACAGCTCCCTGAAAGGAGGCTGTAGTGAGGTGGGTGTTGGTCTGTTCTCCCAAGTAGCAAGCAACAGGACAAGAGGAAATGGCCTCAGGTTGCGCCAGGGGAGGTTTACAAGAGCCTTATGTGGTTTGTGTAGTAATCCATCTGCTCTTCCCTCTGTTCTGATCTGGTCATATTTCATCTAAGATGACCACTGTGTCTTTCAGCCTGTTAAATGGGAGATAGGCATGAGATTGACAAGGATCACTTGCCCTTAAGCTTCCTAAGTATTTTGTTCATGTAACAGGACAGATCATACTATTGAAAAAACCCTTATGACAAAATGTGCTTCTGTCCAAGTTCAAAATAAAAGATTTTTCATGAGAGGTGAATGTTACAGCCCTTGAAGTTTTAAGGGAGCACATGTTAGTACAGCACAGCAAAAATGAAGGCGTAACTGTCATTCTGTCTCTTCCTGTACTAACTCTTTGAGAGCCTTGTCTGTAGTGTGATAATTAGCTCCACTTAATGTGCTCACACAGAGGCCATACTGGAGAGGATGATTAGCACAGGAAATGTTTAGAGTTTTAACTAGTTGTAACTCAGGATTCTGCCAAACTGTTACAGGAAAAAGGTAAAAATTCAGCTAGACTTGAGTAATCCAGGTAAGAATCCTTATTTACTAGTTATTGAGCAGAAATACGTTAATAGCTTTTCATAGTTATTACTTCGGAATGTTATTTTCTTGAAAGGCAATAAATAGTTACTCAATCTTATCTTTGGACTTTAAAATAAATAAAATATAAGTTATGTATCTTTAATAAGAGCTGTCTTTGGTGATGAGTTCATAGTAACTGACTTAATCTTAGGTTTACTGAAGACTGTAGAACTAATATCAATCAGAAAACATAAGCATAGAGGTTAAAGGTGTTTATTGAATGTAGACTTTGAGTGGTAGTGGGCTCGACATAACTTTTGCTGTCATATTCTGCTTGTAGGTAAAAAGAACATACTCTCATGGTACTTATAGAGCTGGCCCAATGAGACAGATCAGCCTGGTTGGAGCAGTTGATGAGGAAGTGGGGGATTATTTCCCTGAATTCCTTGATATGTTGGAAGAATCACCCTTCTTAAAAGTAAGGACAGAAGGGAATGGGTTGGGAGAAGGGGGACAATATACTGTCTGTTAGTGTTATAATAAAGTGAGAGTATGTGATACTTGCTTAAATAATTGAGTGGTCTAATAAATGTTTTCATTGTGACAGATGAAGGCTGCTTTTAAAAAGTTTTTAAAGTAACTCACTTCAAAATTGTGGCTTGTATTTCCCATTAGTGTACACTGCCATGGGGAACACTTTCTAGTTTAAAATTAGAGAGTCGTAAAGACAGTGATGATGGTCCCATTATGTGGGTACGTCCAGGAGAACAGATGATCCCTGTGGCTGACATGCCAAAGTCACCTTTCAAAAGGAAGAGGTATGTTGAATTATTTTGCTTGATAAATGTCTGGTTAGTATTCTTTCTCTACAAATTCATTTTATCCCAAACCTTTTACTGCTTGATATTATATCTTAATATAAATTTCTGTAAATCTTCATCTCAAAATACACTTAAGTTGCCTTGTTTTGTAAGGATATGGATAATTTTTTTTTAAACTGTTTGCTATCTGACCAAGCCAAGGTGCTGGTCCTTTTTGGAGCTTTCGTAGGAATTTAAGGTGAAAACTGCAGGGAAGTGTGAACAGGCATGCAACTACTCATGTATGCCATGAGACTGGAATTAATACCCCGTTTCTTAAATGTGGGTGGATGTTTAAAGAGCTCAAAGGACAAGGGCTTCTCTCTCGCCTGAAGGGTAACATCTCCAAGATTAAATGACATCTTTAAGCTTTGCTGTGGTACTGGGTATAAGTACCAGCTTAAGAGTAGGGATGTCCTCTGCAGAACTTGAATATTATGTGTCATGAGAAATTCTGGTTTTGGAGTTCTCTTGTTCAAAATTCAGACATAAAAAGGGAGCATACAAGAAGTGGAAGCAGGGTCAGGTGCCTCAGGAGGAGAGACACACTGTCCAACCATGAAGGGGATACAGTTAAAGCCAAAGGCCATCTGGAGTTGAATTTGGCAAGGGATGTGAAGGGCAACAAGGACTTCTACAGGCATATGGGCAGAAAAAGAAAGACTAGGGAAAATGTAAGGCATCTGCTGAATGGGGCAAAGGGCCTGGAGATGAAGGACATAGAAAAGGCCAAGATACTCAATGCGTTCTTTGCCTTTGTCTTTAGTAGTGAGATTTACCTTCAGGAATGCCAGGTCCTGGAGATAGTAGGAATGTCTGGAGCAAGGGCTACTTGCCTTCAGCGTAGGAGAATCAGGGTAAGGAACATATTAGACATACAGATTAGACAGACACAAGCTCATGGGACCTGATGGGATGTACCCACAAGTGGTGTGGGAGCTGGCCAATGTCACTGCAAGGCCGCTCTTGATTGTGTTTGAAAGGTCATGGCAGTTGGTAAAGGTTTCTGAGGACTGGAGGAAAGCAAATGTCACTCCAGTCATTTAGAAGGGTAAGAAGCAGGACCTAGGGGACTGCAGGCCAGTCAGCCTCGCCTTCATCCTGGGAAGGATGCCATTTCAAACGTGAGCGACAAGGCGATAATTGGGAGTAGCTAGTATTGATTTACGAAGGGGAAATCATGTCTTGCCCACCTGATGGCATTCTACAACAAAATGACTGGCTCACAGGATGAGAGGAGTGCTAGGGGTGTTGTTTATCTTGAATTTAGCAAGGCTTTGCACACTGCACACCTGTCTCCATAACATCTTAATAGACAAATTAATGAAGGACAGACTAGACTGATGAACAGTGAGGTGGATCAAGAGTGGGCTTAACTGCTGTGCTCAAAGGATTGTGATCAGCAGCACAAAGTCCAGCCAGAGGACGGTCACTACAGGAGTAACCCACGCACTGATACCTTTCGCCAATACCGTTCAACATCTTCATTAATGGCTGGCATCATGGGACAGAGCACGCCCTCCACAAGTTTGCAGGTGATACAAAACTGGAAGGAGTGGCTGATGCACCAGAGGGTTGCGCGGCCAGTGAGAGGGACCTTGAGAGGCTGTAGAAATGGGCCAGCAGAAGGCTCATGAAGTTAACACTGGGGTGTGCAAAGCCCTGCACCTGGGAGGAACAACCCCGCGCAGCAGCGCAGGCTGAGGACCAGCTGGCTGGACAGCAGCCTGGCAGAGGAGGACTTGGGGGTCCTGGTGGGATACAGGTTGGCCATCAGCCATCGGTGTGCCTTTGTGGCAAAGCAGGCCAGCAGCCTCTGCGACAGGATTAGGAAGAGCACTGCCAGCAGGTTGGGGGAGGCGATCCTTCCCCTCTGCTCATCACTGGTGAGACACATCTGGAGTACAGTGTCCAGTTCTGGGCTTGCCAGTCCCGGACAGACATGGGTACACTGGAGCAAGTCTGGTGACATGAAAGGCGGGCATGGGTGAACTGCGATTTACCCCTGAGAAAAGAAGGCTCGTAGTGGGATCATATCAATGTGTATAAGTATCTGATGGGAGGTTTTAGAATAGAACAGAATGCTTTGGGTTGGAAGGGACCTTTAGAGATCATCCAGCCCAACCCCCGTGCAATGAGCAGGGACAGCTTTAACCAGATCAGGTTGCTCGGAGCCTTTTTTTCAGCAGTGCCTAGTGATGTGACCAGAGGTGATGGGCACAAAGTGAATTACAAGAAATTCCATATAAAATAAGGAGAAAGGAAATAAAAAAAAGTTTACTGTATGGGTGGTTGAACACTGGGACAGGTTGCCTGGAGAGCTTGTGGAGTCTTAATCTTTGGAGTTGCTCAAAACTTAACTGGACACGGTCCTGAGCAACCTGCTGTAGTTGAGTTGGGGAATTTGGACTACACAGTCTCTGGATGTCCCTTCCAACCTTGGCTATGTTATGATTATAAACAGCTCTTGGAAAAATGTGGCACACAGTGTTGGCTCCAGGTGACCAAGAAAATGGTTTTGTGGCTCTGTTCCTGCTCTGCAGCATTTCCTTCAGTTTCATTAAACCCTGAAGAAGTGATCTTTTGCTGCTTCTCATTCCCAGTTCCATAACGTGGAACTAAATATACATACACATTTCCTACTGGTTTGATCAACATGAGTGATGAAGAATGACTTCAGGGACAATTGAAATGTGTACCTAATAGTCCGGAAGCAGCAAAGGCCGGCAGTTCCCTGCCAGGGGCAGATCACGGTAGGGCCCAGTCTCACAGTGCCTGAGGGAGGCAGGTAGGGCAGACCTGGGCTTTGGGGACCGGATTCAGCCCGACTCCAGTGTGTCAGGCAAGCGTGCGGTTACGGGGCAGGTCTGAGGTCAAGCCAGGAAGTCAGTCTGCCAGTGAGGATCAGGTCCAGAGACTGCCAGGTAGGTCCACCTTGGGAAAGCCATCCTGAGGTCAAGCTGGCAAGCAAGTCTGTGGCCCAGCACACCTCTGGCTCAGGCGGAGACCAGTGCTTCTGCAGCATGGCTCAGGCCAGGACTGAAGGCCCAGGCCTGAGCTTAGAGCTCCTGGGCTCTTTGTCCGGGTTTGTGGGTGGAGACTGCAGGTGAGGCTGCTCAGTCATGGGGGCCTTTTAGTGCACTCAGGGCCCGGACACTGTGGTGGTGTTTTGGTTTCTTTTTTTGGTGTGGTTTGTTTTGTTTGGGGGTTTTTTACTACATAGATGCTCAGATTTTTTGCATAGCTCATTACATTTTTAATTTGTCCTAAGTGTTACTGGTTTTCTCATTTGGCTGTATGTTCTCACTGAAGGGAGAAAAACAGTCCTATTGGCTGTGGTGGAAATAGGTAATTAAGAGGAATTTCTATATCACTAATATTGTTTTTCTTATACAGAACTACCAATGAAATAAAAAACTTGCAGTACCTACCTCGAACCAGTGAACCCCGTGAAATGCTATTTGAAGACCGGACACGAGCCCATGCAGATCACATAGGACAAGGTTTTGAACGACAGACTACAGCTGCTGTGGGAGTATTGAAGGCTGTGCACTGTGGAGAGTGGTATGTGTTGATTGATGCGTTCACCTAGGTGTTTGAAAAATATTTGCCTGAATTTCCATTTTTGTAATCAGTACAAGGAGCACAGAATAGGTTAATCTAGTATTAAGAGATTTAATGAAGACTTACTAGATACTGGACTTTTTCTTCCCCTCTGTCTCTGTGCACTAGGTGTGTTTGTCTACCCCCTGCTAGGCTGGGTACAGTTTTGCTGTGTGATTGAAACTAGAAAGATGCCTTGCAATGACAGTTTAATAGCTATAATTGAGTTGCTGTAACTGAGTTAATGTTAGATGTAAAAACACTTCCCTCTGTTTTGCTTTAAATAGCGCATATGGACTGACGTGAGTCTCAGCCTCAGTGGTGCGCATGAAGACCTTTTGGCAATTCTTTGTGTTGTTTGGAGATGAGCAGAATTTGTATGGTTCTGTTTCCAAATTGTGGCTGCTATAACCCTGATTTATGGTAGATCACCTAGGAAGAATCCTGTTGGAGTCTGTGTGATTGTCTTTGGTGTCTGTCGTTGTAATTCCCATATGAGATTCAGCAAATGAGTATATCTCATTTGAAGCTGTTCACATTTTAGCCAAATAAAAAGCCCATAATCATACGTGCTTCCCGGCCCAGATCTAAGAAGCATTTTTCAGGATCTTCTGACCTTGGTTTGGGAGAGCGACCTTAGTTTTGGAGGTTACCTTTGCATATGTAAGCACTAAAACCACCTTTTGCTCTTTATACATGTCTAGAATTCAGAAGAGTGAATTCCCTTTGGATGAAACGATGCAAATTTATGTTCCAGTGCTTGAGTTCATCGAGATAGAAAATTGAAAAATTGCTGTTGGGGAAGAACTGGATTGTTGAGATGTTAATGTGGTTTTACTTTGGGCTCAGAGGTCGTGCAGTTGATGATAGCTGGAGTCTTGAACTTCCTGCTTGCTCTGTGAGAAGCTGGAGTGAATTAAGACTGAGCAGTGGTAGCAGGGCAATAGCTGAGATACTGTGTAGATCTGAATATTTTAAATTACACTTTGCACATATGAGAGAGAGACTCAAAGCTTTATCAAAGAAAGTAAAAAGCCAAACAAAACCAGAACCCCACCCCCCAAACTTGTGTACCTGTGGAAATTAATAAGAATTTAAATCGATAGTAATTGAAATGTCTGCAGGAACTTTCCATTCACACCCTACACCTTCATAACAAGAGCCTCCTCCCTTAGAAGTCATTACATGTTCATTAACATCCTAAAAATAAGTTTTCTTGCTTTCCAGATCTAAACCATTGCTTCTGTCATACGTTGCAACTTGTGGAAAAGGGTATCTATTCAACCTCTGTTAAAACTCCTTTTGAACTTGGAAAAATGAATTAAATTAGTCAAAATAAAAACTGTAGATTAAAAAGTGATCTGAAAGTAGGCAAAACTAGGCAAAACTGCCCAAAAAGCTTGAAAGTACTTCAGTTTGGGGGGGGAAAAAAGTAACTATCATCATTTCACTTCAGTGAAGGACTGAAAATGTATCTTTTAATGCAGAACAAAAAATTTGGGACTGAAATATGTAGAGGAGGAAAACACATAACACAATAAAAATGATGTTTTTCCAGCTTGATTTGACCTCAGTGATAATTTCTCCTTTCCCTTTCTACTTTTTTGTATAATTTTGAAAAGCCACTTCACTGTACTTACATGAAGAGAACTAATCAGGGCTTATGATAATGAAGCATCATTAATTAATGTAACACATTAAAATAATTTCAGATACTGGCCTTACCATAATTTGTCAGCTGTGGGTAGATTTATGTTAAAGGAAACAGCACGCATAGAAATCTTGAAAAATCTGGGTGTGGGTTGTGTTTTTTTTTTTTTTAAATGTGTTTGAGTAGTTGAACAAAACTGAAAGTTGGAGATATTCCAGGGGTGATCAGGGCACTATGGCAGTAAAAATGCACATGTTTTAATGATGAGGTACTATATATAGAATTCACGTTTTCTTTGAGGAGAAAATAAAGCAATTCCTAGAGTTGCTGAACAGAGTTGTTAGTTTGTATTCAGTATAAAAATGAATTGGATGTGCAAAAAAAGCTTTGTAAACAAGAAGTTGCTGTAGATTTAGAGAAAGTGGGATTTATTTAGTAGTTGATAGGCATGAATGTTAATGTTAGGTAGGGTAAGTGGTGTCTTTCAGAACAGACAGGAACAGTACTGTTGAAAGGCAAAAAGCAGCTTTTTGGGGATAGAGGACAGAACTAGAAACACAGAGTTTGGAAGAACAAAAGAATAACTTTTGCTTTCCCGAATATAACAGGCTCTTGATTTGAGATGCTTTGTAAAAATTAGTGGATTATGATCTTTTTTTTTTTATCTCTGTGAATATTTACAAATTCTAGAAGAGCTCTGGCTATTGTTAGCAAACATTTTAAAGATTGTACTGCATTGAAGTCTGATAAATGCTGGTGTTGTGATCATGCTGACTACTTAATGCCATTTTTGTAGGTGATGCCAAGTGCAGAACTTAAGAAATGGCAGTGAAATTTTAAATTATGGAAACTTTGAACATTTTTACGTGGGAAGTTTGGGTGGGTTTGTACAGGGACAGCAGAAGACACTTCATGGCATTGTTGGCAAAGTCAAACCCCTCTGTCCTGTGCTTCAGCAAGAAGCTTTCAAGTTTGTGTTCTAGCACATGAAGTTGTTAGTGCTTTTCTAGGAATTTGTTATATATTGCCGGACTTCCTGTATTAGGCCAGAAATACTCATGGTAAAACCTGTAATCCTGAATCTCTTTTGAAAAGTTACAGCAAAAAGAACCCAGCCCTTTTGAAGAATGAGGTTAAGGAAAAAAAAATTTTGGGAAAAATAGTTCTAGCAGTGCTCTAATAGGGACTTAAATGGATTTTTCTGAAGTCATCTTATAGTTCTGTTTGGATTTCATGTCTTTTTGGACATCTAGCGGAACTATCCTGGTACTGTTTTGCTTGGGGAGGGGCCCCTAAACTTGAGGTTTTACAAAATATAATCTCAGAGTTGTGCTAAATATCAAATATGCAAATGCAGAACTAAAAATAATCTGGCAATAACTTTTCTCTGTTTTGTTTGCAAAAGGGATCATGTTTTGTGATAGAATTGCAGCACGGATTTGGTAATGCATGCTGTTGCACGTATATATAGGGACTGAGAAAAGGAATGATTTAGAAAAATCATTGATTATACTTCATCCTGTGTAATGCATAAAACATGGAGTAGACACTGCTGTGAAAACATTGCTTTGGATTGAAGTTCTTTTAGTGTGCAAATATTGTTTGTATTTTAATTTTTAACTTCATTTACAAATACTGTTAACTCCAGATGCAGATACATAGTCTTAAAAAAATGAAAAACATAATTGCATTATAAAAAGTAGATTAGTGTAGCTAATTTTTTTTTTTAATGCCACTGACTAGAGACGTTTCTGTAAGCTTTCTGCTTTCAGTACTTAAATCTTCTTCAGGACTATATAGACCAAAATATAGAGAGACATTTTAGTCGCTGTAAAACTGAAAGTAAAATATGTGGTCTGAAAATTCTCCCTAGCATACTTTCGGTAGCTGATCTGGGATTTTTTTTTTCCCTGAAAATAGCCTCAAACTGGTTATTTTTTGCTGTTTTTGAGGTCGTGACCTAAATAAAATATGTCTTGTCAGTTTAAAAAGCCCAATAAACTGTACATCATTGCCTGCTTCTTAGAATACCATATATATACATACACATGCACCCATATATAAAGCACCATATATAGAGATACATGAATACTTAGATTGATTATCGTCTTGCTTTTAAAAAAGAGTGCTTGAACATCCATTATTTAAGTTCCGAAACATACCGAACTGCTTTGCTGCATCAGCTCCTCCCCTGGGCCCCAGTAAATCTGAAATTGTGGCCCGGTTTGGCGGAGGGTGGAGGTGGTGGGCGCGGGGACCCTTGCCTGGTGGGGCGGCAGGAGCCAGCCCGGCCCTGTGGGTGTGGGGGAGGCAGGGGGACACCCGGACACCCGTGGCTCCTTTCGGCAGCGCCTGGACGTGCCGCCTGCGTGCTGTTACTGCACAGCAGCCAGCTCCGAGGGAGGTGGTGTGCTCCGGTCAGCCCTGGGAGGGCTCTGCAGGGGATGAAGGAAAGAAGTCCTCAACCAGGCTCTTCCTGGCTGCTAAACTTTGCTTGCAAAACCACTCCAATGCAACCTTCCTCCTATGTAAATGAAATCTTCATTTCACCATGCTTTAAAAAAAAAAAACCTTTTAAAAATCAAACATTCCTCAAGAACAAACACATGGGGCTTAGTTTTCTGTGTTTCCATTGAATAACTGAGTTTGGCTTTTAGATCAGAAAGCGGTAAGGATCATAGCTGGGTTTGCCTTTTGTTAGCTAATTCTAGATAATGTTTCTAGAGGAATTATATAAATGGTGTGCATTTCTTTGGGGGAGATGTTGTGGGACAAGAGGTGAATTATCCTAAGAGTTTGAGTATGGAGACAAACCCTAACTCAGATTTTGCCCTTCTGTAGCTCTCTAGTGAGCATAAATAGGAAGGTATTTTTAAGGGATATTCTGTGGAGGATGCCAGTATTTGCTGCTTAGTAAGATTGTGGCAGCTCAGTGTCGGTTTGGCTTTACTACTAACTCTGAACAAGGTGTTTGAGGTTAAGATACTGAACAGTGTTTGCCATAATACTATGCAGACCGTTGCCTACATTGAGGTACCTGACGGGCCTATCATGTTAGAGTGTTGACAGAGTGAGCCTAGCGTATCTGGGGCATCTGTCTTTCAGCATCAAGGCAGAAAGAAGTCAATTAAAAATAAAAATTAGAAATAGTGAGTTTTGTTGACCTTTCATTGCTGCTTTTACTGCCACTTGTAAAGAAATTGTAGTTAATTCATTTAACCAGTTTAATGAGGTTGTGTTTGAGAATTGGACATTCTAGTCAACCTTTTTTCTGCAAAATGTAGGTTATGCTAGAATTGTTGCTTTTTTTTATCATTTGCTTTATCCTTCCTTGCAGATTTTCTGTATTATTATCCATAGCGTGTTAGTTTCAGCCTCTGACTGTGCTGTTCTTGCTCTTCTGTAGGTCTGAGCAGCCTCGTATAACCAAAGATGTAATTTGTTTTCATGCGGAAGACTTCTTAGAGGTGGTTCAGCGAATGCAGTTAGATTTGCATGAGCCTCCACTCTCACAGGTAAGCATGCTATGAACTGTTGATCAGGTGTTCCCAGAGACCTGAATTGGAGTTTTCACTTTTTTTTTTCTTAATTTTTGTCCTCCAGTGTGTCCAGTGGGTTGATGATGCAAAACTTAATCAGCTGCGAAGGGAAGGCATTCGATATGCCAGAATTCAGTTATTTGATAATGACATTTATTTTATCCCAAGGAATGTTGTGCACCAGTTCAAAACAGTTTCAGCTGTGTGCAGTTTGGCTTGGCACATCCGGCTCAAGCTATATCATTCAGAGGAAGAACTCTCTCAAAATACAAGTACTGTTGAAGCAGGGACCTCTGCAGACCCCAAGTCTTCGGTTATTGGACTTCAGACTGACAGCAGAATTTGTACGATGAGCAAAAATACCTCCGAAGACACCAAATTTTCAGATGCTCTGCAGACAAAGTATCTGCAGCAGG